CTTCATCCCTCTTCCCAGCCGCCCATCTCTGTGTCTTCCTGTCCTTCTCCCATCCCAGCATCTCCACTTACCATTCGTCATTTGAGCATCCGGAATTCCTTTCTGCTTCTCCGACTTCGCCTTCACGCCTACCGACGCTACTTTCTTCTTCGCCTCTCTTTTCTCCGGCTCAGTTTGGCCACCAAATTTTGCCTTTAGTTCAAGTACGGTATGTTTTTCAATCTTCACAAACAGTGGTTTTGGCTGAAACGAATACAGTCATTCGCAACCTTTGCATATAAAGACCCATAAATGATAAAATTTATATTTATTACAACAGTCGTGGCGCATGAGGTCCAGTTGTGGTACTGATAAGGAATGTACTAAAAATGGACTAAAAAATTAATGGACTAAAAAATTTCTTTTCAGTAATCACTTTTTTCGTATTATTTGCGCATTTATTCCATTTCATGCACATTTATTGTATCACTTTATCTGACAAAGTATTTCTTCATTATTTTTTACAATAAATTTCATATTTTTCCAGTTCGATTATTATTCTTTATCCTTACGGCCATTTATATTAACATTATATTTTTTGTTCCACCAATTTTTTTTCAATACCATTATTACTGTATTTCTCCTTTCAGATGTGTATTGGCATTCGGAACGAAGTATTTCTATTCAATTACACCTTAAGGACCGCGAGAATCGTTGAGATAGTAATCCCTTTAGAAGACGAAACTAGCGTTCAGATTGCCAGCAGGCTGACCGACCGTCAAAGAGGAGCAATTGGAAAAGTTGTCAAATGTATCGCAGAAGATCAAAACTATGAGTTAAAATCTGTTCTAAGCAAATTGGATATGTACTAGTGCAGAAACACAAAATCAGTTTCAGCGCCTTCTTGTACCTAGGATCTGACGTACATGATCCTCTGAATTCATTATCGTGGCCTATGATATTTTTTATCCAGAACCATTTCCCCCTCCTCACTCCCCTGCGGTGTCCCCCATTTTCTTCCATCGCATTCGATGAACAAGCAATCGTCATACCGTTCCAATTTTATGTCCAGGCTTCAGGAACGCAATCGGTGCACGCGGAAGCAATGCCAACGTGGGAAGTCCACACTGGCGTCGTATGGTGGCGCTCACAGATGGCATGTAGGGATGAAGCATCACAGCAATCAAATAGGCCACATTGGCTGCCACACCGATAACTGTCCCTGCCTGCTTCCTGTAAAAAACGTGTACAAGTCAGGCAACAGGAAGGTCCCGATAATCTCGGACTGATTGCTGATTTAGTGAAAATATTATTGCTCTAACCCTCACCCCCCCCCCCCCCCCCCCCCCCCCCCCCCCCCCCCCCCCCCCCCCTCTCCCCCCCCCCCCCCCCC